TTGGGGTCCTTAGGGACTAGTAAAGCGCTATACAAATACAGGCCATTTACCATTTACCTGCTTCCTATATAATGCGTATGTAATCAAAGTAAACCTCCATCTCAGGGTACGTTTTTTAAGAGTGTTACCTTCAAAGGAAATGCTCCCCAGAGAGAGAACTGCCTGCTGGAGCTCCACAGTCTTCATGTGCTTTTGTTCCTTTTTTCACTCATCATCTCCCAGGATGAGCACACAGTTCCCAACATGCATCCAGACTCAGAGGACTTTGTGGTGCTGGAGCTGATGGCCCAGTGTGAGCAGAAATTGGAGTCCCTGCAGAAAGAGCTTGAGGGGATGGATGTGGCAGCTATAATGAAGGAGATGGAAGAAAAGGAGGTAAGACAAAAGCCTACAAACTCAAAACTTGAAATGGATCATCTGAGTCTGAAACGACATGTTTGACATTTGCAAATTCAGTCAAGGCTTTTGTTTAAGTTTGTCCATGGGCTCCCCATTAAGAGAAAGGCAGTAAAACACGTGTGTGTAGATGATCATTAACACTCAGCAACACCTTCTCTGTTTGAGAATATAACACAGAGCATACAAACACACAGTCTGCCAATGACTAACACTAAGCCTAAGCCTTCCTGTTTCTGCTATGAGTTCTACGTCAGGATTGAGGGGAAACACAGCACCCAAGTCAAGCCACCTGAGGATCAAGCGGAAGATCCCTACAGTGATGGTAACTTGGTGTTCTTCTACACACTACCAGCTACGACTACAGACTAAATTACATTGAAATTGCTGATTACTTAATTGTGTTCCAGAGGACAAGAGTGACAAGGACGGGGCTCACGTCATCTCTCGTGAGGCACTGAAGCGTCAATCTCAGCTAATCGTCGACTCCAACTCAAAAAGAAAGGCCCAGAAGAAGAGGAAGGGCAAGTTTTAATCCGACGGCATCTCCAAACTCTCCCAAAATAAAGCAGTGATGTGTAAAACGGGATGATTTTAAGCCGAGTGAACAGACTGTGATTTGTCATTGCTATCAAGTTTCTCCTCTTAGCTGCTGCTATAAGGATATGTAGTAAACAACAAATGACGATTTAAGTTTTAACAGTCTTACATAACTGTCGTGAATTGATACCTTATGTCTGTACTTGTTGTGTAAGTAGGTTTCATTTGGCAACAGTCAGCTGTCAACACTTTACTCCACATCATTTTTGGTTGTTTTACTCATATTTCACTCTCTGCCTGTCTCCACAGAATCCACTATACAGGAAAGAGGGTGCTCTAAATAGGTCTTGCAGACTCAAATATATGCATCCACTGTACAGGCAATTTTGTTGAGCACTACATGCATGCTATATGGTGTTGTGTGCCTGTCCGGAGGTTTTGGCAGAGGATTTCTTTTTTTTTTTTTGCCTGTCCCGTTTGGATCTTCAGCCGTCAGAATTGTTGTCTGAAGGCCAAGAAAGATGCCAAGCGGATTTACTTTACCAAGTGGCTCATCATGGCCCTGCCATATTGGTCCATTTGATTGACCTTTATTATAATTATGTATTTATTTTATTTTATTTTTGGTTGTTACAGACGGGATAGACTAGGGCATAGGTGTCAAACTCTGGCCCGCGGGCCAAATTTGGCCATACCAATTTACTATTAGAGCTGTCTACTGGTATTATACAGCTAATATATATATTGTTTAGTATTAAGCTTTGCTTGTTCCATATTCAGTTTTTCAGCAAAACGTGTTTGAGTCCATAAGAAAAGATTCATTCTTATTTCTGGAGGAATAAATATATTTCAATAAATATTAACGTTAGCCCGCGACTTTGTTCCAGTTTTGAATTTTGGCCCACTGTGTATTTGAGTTTGACACCCCTGGACTAGGGGATAGGACAGGGAGAAAGAAAGAATGAAAGAAAGAGGGAGAGAAAGAAAAACACAGGGGAGAAGAGATAGTGAGAAAGGGGGAAGATAGAAAAATCCCCCCTTCCGGGGGGTGCCCACCCCCCAGAAGGGGCCCAGCTGGGTCACAGACGCCAGGCTCCGCCAAGCAGCCACCAGGAGTGAGCCGGTACATACACGAGTGCTCAGCCCCAGACACCAAGAACCACCAGCGTCTGAGGGCATCAGCCACCGGCATGGAGAGTGGTGAGGGGAGATAGACCTCCATACCTCGGAAAGCCTGAGATGTTCCCAGAGAGGTGGAGTCTAAGACCCAACCTGACATGTAGACACAGATGAACAGGCACACACAGACACAAACGTGCATTCCCACCCCCGTATACACATAAATAAATACTCAGCACTCACCCAATGGTCAATGGTAACTTTATTGTGCCTAACGGGAAATTGATTTGCAGTATGTCCGTACAAACAAACAAACAAACACATCACATACACTCACCAAAATAATATAATATAAGCCTGAGAAAACAACCTAGATTTTTCATCAAAAAAGTGCAATGTGCAGTGGCAACAACACTTATGGTTTAGTGTTATTAACTATGATAATAGCACTAGGTACAAAAGACTATCTATGTCTCTTTGTCTTCACTGCAGGCACTTTATAACGACGACCTGATGGAAGCAGTTGAAAATCATTAATGACTGACCCTCTTAATTATTGATCGAGTAAAGTTTCATTATCTGTTTACTACGAATTGAAATGAAAAATCAAACAATAATCTGCAGTTCTGCTCTGAACTCCATGATTAAGATCTTCAGATTTTTCCGACGTCGCAGTTTCATCTTGCTTTGTGAAATCCGTGGCTTGACTATCCCGTCCATGTTTGTGATAAGTCACATGTTGTAGACTTGTCCTCGTTTACGCAAACACGCTCACAGTTGGATTAAATAAGTTCTGGGTTGATTTATGACAACCCCTGTCTGATGGCGTTACAGAAGCCAGTTAGGGAAAGAAATCTCAGCTATGTTGAACTTGCTTCTTGGTTCAGGGAAGAAAAGAAAATTCAACATTAGTAATGACTCAGATATTTCCTCGTTATCTGTGCTGTTGTTCTGCTCCGTTATCATGGTTCCATTATTTGCACAGAAACAAAGTCCATTGCACTGACTGCTATCAGAGGTTAAAGGTCAATGGGCTCTGAAGAAGTGATTCTGCTGAAGGTGCAGAAAAAGTAGAGACAAATGAACGAAGGAGAAGAGATAGAAAAGAGGATTTGAAAAAACGTGACAAAAAGAGGAAGAAAGATTTCACAACAGACTGGAGACCAAAGCTACAGATGAGAAAAACAGACAAAAACGGAGCAAAGTGAGATAAAAGGTGGGTTTTACTGGTTCACACAGCAGGAAGAAAA